GAAATGAGGAACATTTGGGGCATCTTTGAAGATTCAACATCAAATATTGGGGATTTTTGGATATTGGGCATCTTTGGGGATTCAACATCCTAATGCGAGTTATCAGACCTTTTTCAGGAGATAAAACATAACCAATTCATGTTACATGCATCTTATGCATACATTTTAGAACATCATTTTTCCCACATACATAATTTTTGCAACTTTTAGAGTCAAGTTTCGACTTCAAGACGAAGGATACTCGATTCAAAAGCATCTTTAAAGATTGATGTTGGTTGCTTAACTCAGCAACAAGAAGCTACATTTCAACCAATTTGACATATTGAAAGATCGACAGATCTTAGAATCAACTTCAGACGAGTTCGAGAGCTAATTCAGAACCGATCCAATTCGCATTTTCAAGTTGGATTTCAACTTCACGACGAAGGACATCTAATTCCTGGCTCAACTTCACGGCGAAGAGGCCACCCACGGTTTCAACTTCACGACGAAGGGAATTGTGCCCACCATTGTCTCTCTTGAGACAGTTTCCCTTGAAACAAACTTTGTCTCCCTTGAGACAGTTTCCCTTAGAAAAACCTTTGAAATCGTTTCTCTTTGAAAAAGTTTCTCTTGAAACATACACATTGAAAACATTTCCCTTGAGATGAATTTTGTCTCTCTTGAGACAGTTTCCCTTGAAACAAAATCTTTGAATATGTTTTCCTTGGAACTAATTTCATCTCCCCGTGAGACAATTTCTTTTGGAACTAAGTTTTGTCTCTCTTGAGACAGTTTTTCTCAAAACAAAATTGTGTCTCCCTTGAGACCGTTTCTCATGAAACAACAAATATCTTTGAGATCGTTTCCCTTGAAACTAATTCTATCTCTTTCGAGACAACTTCTCTTGAAGCATCATCTGAACCGTTACACTCAGCTCAAACACATACTTGGAATGGTCGAGAAGCATTTTTCAAATCAAAAAATAAAATGTGCACATCAGATTTGAACATTTGAAGAATAAAAGATCAGGGATCAAAACTTGAGGATTCCAAAACTAAGATTCCAGAAAAGTAACCGGAGATCGAGATCTCAATCCTGAGCCCCAAAAATAGCATATATTGCATATGCATTTTAGGCATACCTAAGAGCATTGCATCCATCTCATCACATATATGCATAACTTTTTCAAATTTCATTCAGAGTCAATTTCAACTTCACAGCGAAGGATATTAGACTCGAGACAGCACAAGTTCAACTTCAAAGCGAAGGGGCGGCTGACTGTCAACAAACAACTTCCCAATTTCAGAGCCAATTTCAACTTCTCAGCGAAGGATCTTGGACCCAAGACAACACAAGCTCAACTTCACGACGAATGGGCGGCTGATTGTCAACAAAATTTCATTCAGAGTCAATTTCAACTTCACAGCGAAGGATATTAGACTCAAGACAGCCCAAGTTTAACTTCACAAACGAAGGGACGGCTGGTTGTCAACAAACAACTTCCCAATTTCAGAGCCAATTTCAACTTCACAGCAAAGGATATTGGACTCGAGACAACACAAGTTCAACTTCACAACGAAGGGATGGTTGGTTGACAACAAACAATTTCTCAATTTCGGAGCCAATTTCAACTTCACAGCGAAGGATATTGGACTCGAGACAACACAAGTTCAACTTCACAACGAAGGGACAGCTGGTTGTCAACAAACAATTTCCCGATTCCAGAGGCAATTTCAACTTCACGACGGAGGATATTGGACTCGGAACAATGCTACTTACTTGGATTTCAACTTCACAACGAATGATATCCAATTACATGCTCAACTTCACGACGAATGGGCCACCCACGGTTTCAACTTCACGACGAAGGGAATTATGCACACAAGCATCATCCGTCTTTAGATTGGATTTCAACTTCACGACGAAGGATATCCAACTCATAGAAGGAGTATCTGTCAACAAAGACCTTCAAGTTCGACTACGCTCAGCTCCAAGGCACATCATTTACAACATAACTCAAGGCTAGAAGGGTTATCTGCCATCAAAATTGTTGAGTTCGATTCCATTCAGCTCGATGACACATCAATCGCACTACTTTCCGGTTGCAGTCGAGGTTTTCAAGTCGAGAAGAGGACCTGGGTTAGCCGTGCCTTAGTGACAAGCAACCATTTTCAAGCAGCATAACTTAAGTAAAAAAAAACTATCTGTCAATGAAGATTTTTGAGTTCGATTCCGATCCAAGGTCTTTAAACCGAGAAGAAGACCGAAGGGCAACGGGAAGCCACGTGCTGATTCAAATTCCGAACTACGGCTTCAATTTCATATCATTTCAAGATGAACTTGACTTCACGATGGAGGAGTTATCCGTAACTCAATTCGACAGGGAGTTATTGAAACATCATAGTCAATTTTCAACTCCACTAAACGAAAAAGTGTATATTTTAATCTTTGCCCTATCCCCGTTAAACGACTATGGGCAAAGAGGGGCAGCTGTCAACACACATTTTCGTCCTACTAGGATTCAAACTCCTAAAAATAGGATAGAATTTTGCTAGGATTCAAACTCCTAAAAATAGGATAGAGTTCTACTATTATTTAAACTCCTAAAGATAGGATTCACAAGCATTATAAATAGCCATTGTAACTCACTATTGTAACACAGAAGGAGGATATACGAAATACCAAGCAAAAAAACTACAAGCAACGCGTAACCATTTTTCGAAGCATTTATATTTTGAAATGTAAAGTTCATACCTTCGCATGTTATTTTTACATACCCTTGCTGTGTTTTGATTCGAAAGAAAACTGAGAGAAGTGTTTTTGGCCGATGAACGGGGGCGTTTTCGAGATATTTTTGTAGATCTAGTCCCGAGGCTTGTGTTTTTGAAAAACTATTCGGATTTTTATAAACGGGTCGTGTGGATCCGCGTGTTTTTTTTTTTTTCTTCGATTGGCTTTTAATTTGACCCCTAATTCATTTTTTTATTTTAATTTAACCCTTATTATTTATATGTATATATATATAATTATATTTTATTTATTTATTATTATTTTTTTCATTTTACTTTGCGTTATATTATATTATTTTCTTATTATTATATATATATATATATTATATTATTATTTTTATCTATGTTTACTTATTGACTATGTTTTTTTACTATATTTCCTAACGTTATATATATATATTCTTACTTCATTTTATTTTATATTTCTATGATTACTATTTTTTTAGTTAATATTATATGTATATTTATTTTCATTTATTTATTATTATTGTTACTATTTAGTATTTTATTATTATACATACATTTTTATATTTTATATTTTATTATTTTATTTATTTATATTTATTTATTTATTTTCATTATGTTTTAGTTTCTTTGCTCTTATCATTATTTTCTTTTTTTAAACACTTTACATTTTTTTTAATTCTTTTTGTGTATATATATATTTTTTCTTCATTTATTTTATTTTATTCAATTTCATTTTTTATATTTGTTTCATCCAATTATTTTATGTTTATTATTATTGGTTTCATTTATTTCCTTGGTTTACTCTTTAGTTTTGTTACTTTCTTTTATTATTATTATTTTCTTTTAACATCTTATTTTAATTTTTTAAGGGTATTTCCGTAAACTCATTAAGGGTAAGTAATTCGGATCAAATTTTACCTTTTAATTTAACTTGCAATTTTCTTAATCGAAGACAACTGGAAATTACGTAGTACCGAAAGGGCGGTTCAAGGGTGCTAATCCTTCCTTGACCGTAACCGACTCCCGAACCCGACACATCTTTGGAAAGACGTAGATCAGGTAAGAAATAGGGTATCCGATCAACCCATTTGTTTTAAATAAATGATCGGTGGCGACTCTCAATCCATATTTTTTCAAGTCGAAGCTCAATTCGGAGCCCAACCGAAAGACGGTTACAACAGCTTCTACATGTTTAAAGTGAAAGTCTTTGCTTGTGATTATTTTAAAACTCTCTTAAAGTGCTTTTGTGTACAACATTTGGTTGGAAATGAACTCTAGACACATTAGGGATAGGTGTTATCCTGCTGAGGATATTATTTCCCGTATAAAGAATATAGTTTGTATACAGTTATATCATAAATGTATAGATATTACTGATACGGCTAATGTCAATCTTTGTATAGTTTAGGGGTTAACTCCACTTTATGAGTTATTTCCTTGTACTTCGTAGTAATTTACCACTTTCTTGGATGTATAGATATTACGTGTATATTATTTCCACGTTATGAGTTCTTTCCTTGTACTTCGTAGTAATTTACCACTTTCTTGGATGATAATACACAAATATGTCACCAAAAAAATCATTATATTTGAATAATAAAGCTGAGAATCGATGGAAGAGATTTCTATTGTAAAAATTTTCTGTCTTGGATAGATGCTTAACATTATCATCAATCGGTCTTTGTTGTCGAGTGCCTTTGATACCTATATGAGCTGTGTTCCTTTGATCAGTTGATTTTACTCCGAAATTACGTTGATATGATCACTGGGTGATGTAAATGGGGTTTAGGGTGAATCAATGTCTATTATGAAATTTAGATTTTTTTATATTAGTCTTTTATTTGATTAATGATGTTCACTTCAAATATTTTTTATCTATATTTTACGATTTTTTTTGTTATTAATATACATGTATTTATTTTAAAAATATGTTTAGATTCGTTACTGAATATGAGATGACGTCAATCTCTCTTGCATCACCCTCGGTTAACGTATGTTTTTATTCCGAAAATGTCTAATCTCACCACCCCATTCAAACATTTATTGGGATGCCATATTCGTTTAAATACCTTTCCTGATAGAAGTTCCATCTTATCTTAAAGTGGATTTCTCTCTCGAAACATCACGTAATACACAGAACAAAACATCCATTGTCCCACTATTTCACTTTCATGATTCCATTTTTCCCTTATAAAAACCTTCTCCATCTTTGCCACTTTCTCGTAAGCTAGTTATTGCATTTTCCTAGTTGGTTTTGCGACCATGTCGATGATTCCGAGCATGTATTACAGCGGTCGCACCGTTCATCATGAGCCTTACTACCACCATCAAACAGTTCGGGATCCGTTCCAAGAATTCCGGTACGGCGGGAGCAGCCTTGTTTCGGCAGTGGCCACGCCTGTTTTCCCCTCCGAATCGCGGTTTGAGCTCACGAAGCTGGACTGGAAGGAGACCCCGGAAGCTCACGTGTTCGTAACGGAACTTCCGGGGCTGAAGAGGAACGAAGTGAAGGTGGAAGTGGAGGGGAGAGTGCTGTGCATCCGCGGTGAGAAGAGCATGGAGAAAGAAGTGAGCGCGTACATGTGGCAGCGCGTGGAACGTAGCAGTGGGTCGTTTGTGAGGCGTTTCAAGCTGCCTGATAATGCGAAGCTGGATAAGCTGACAGCGTACTTGGAGAACGGGGTGCTGACCATCACGGTTCCTAAGAAAGAAGCCAAACACTGCCCTAGAAGAAGCGTTGAGATCCATGGTGGCGAGTGATCGGTTTCCCTTTTGCTTAACAATTTCATAGGGAAAAGTCTTGATGGCCTTATTATAAATAAAGAAATCTCATATCAAAACGTGTGTGCTCCACTTATTGTCTAAGACTTAAGGAATGATGTATTAAAGGGTTTGAGATTATGTGATTAAGTATAAGTATGGTGCTAAGATGGTTGTCTCATCGTCTTTTGGTGTTAATTAAATCTGTAGTTTACGTTCTTAAGGTTGTCTCATCGTCTTTTAAACTCTGTTTCCATATTTACACCGGTGAATCCCATGTTTTTTTTCTTTCCTAAAAGTGAATAACAGTATGCAAAGAATAACAGAGCACATGATCGATCCTAGCATTGCATGTCCAAGAAACTCCCTGCATCACCTACGGGGGTCAAGTCATTTATAGGATGCTCCTTTTAATAGTATATATGCACGCAAACAAGAAAACAGCATAAAAAAAGTAAATAAAAGCGAATATTGAAAAAGGGCAGGCTACAGGGGGGATTGCTTGGAAACCAGTTTTGCAGGATCCTATTTTCTCCCATATAAAACCATGTTAATGTTTCTTCATAAAGACAGAGGGAGAGACAAAATGAACACGGCGAACATGTGCCAAACCACGTCGTCTCATAACGTAACGAGGCATCGACGTTCACCGATACTTACGAGCTTTTTCTCGGGTTGGGCCTGGTTCCAGCAGGGGCATGTATGCACTGCTGTTCTTCGTATTTCGATTGGCAGTGATCGTTGAGTGCCTCTTTTGTTGCAGCATCGTGAAAGCCCAAATCCAACAAGGTGGCTGCTTGGTTCTTTAAGACCGCCATGCACACTGTGCACAGAGCTGAGCTACATTGTGATGTTGGCTGTCATGTTGTCTAACGGCGGTGTATTCCTCGCTGCGGTTTTCGGACATATGGTCGGGTTCTTGGTTTTTGGGAGTAAGGCTTTCGGAAAGCACGGAGGGACTGAAAAACTGCCCAACCTTAGTTCTAGGAAATAGTATATGCAGAGTTTGTTGAGCTACGGTTGTTAGAAGTGAAGTTCTATGGCATTTGATGGGTCTAGTATTGTAGTTGTGATATTGGGTACGTTGCTTAGTGTTGATACCACAAAGATCAAGTATTGGTTTTGGTTTTTTGCTTACCATCAATTAAAGAGAGAATTCATTACACCTGTGTATGTAAAAATCCTCGCTAAGACACCCACCCACCAAAGTCATGAATGCGACGCGGATCAATCCAAATTAATCAGAAAAAAACCCTAAAACCAAGAGGACAACCAAAAATATTAAAGAGAGAATTCCTACCACTGTAAGTGTCTACCTTAAGTATCATGAAAACTTGCAACCCATATATCATGAAAAACAAGTTGGAAGTTGTGATGAACTTGACACTATTGATCATATATATTGAGTGAATATACATCTACACGTAAATTGTTTCCTATGCCCAAATCATCTCTTAATCTATTTAAAAAGGTCTCTACATATTGTTTAAAATATTTCCTGAGTAACTTAGAATACGAAATGGCCCGATTTCACACTTATGTTTTCTCGCCATTGTTGCTACTGATATCGGTTGTCATCATCCATCCCTCGTATGGAGAGCATTTGAACAGCAAAGACCTCGTGGAAGAGGTCTGTCGCCACACATCCAGCCATGGATATTGTGTCGGTACCATGATCCCGGGGCCACCATTAACAGCAGAAGGGATTGCTAGTACAGCTTTGGGTTGGGCGCAGATAAGAGCATTGGAAGCTGGAACAATAATTTCCAATTTACTCAAAGATTCTGCCTCAGCTAACCATCCCCATCACTACCGGGTGCGGCTCCAACGATGTTGGGATCTTAACATGAAAGCCATGGCGGACCTCTGGAGTGCTAATAATTCGTTTTACAGTAAAAACATCAAGGCCATGGTTAATTATCTCTTTACTGCTTCACATGACACTAAAAGGTGCCAAACTCTCATAAGAGGACGCAATTTAACAGGCTTGGCTTCTAAAAACTATGATATAATTAAGCTCAGTGAAATTTGTGCCATCTCCACCAAATTCTTTTGAGCATACTCGTTAAAGCTTTAGCTATGGATTGTGTGTGCATGTAATAGATAAATAAAGGATTCCTATATGAAATTGTAAGAGTGTTGCACACAACCATTTTTAATGGAATCCCTCGTGATATTTACATTCTACCTTTTGGTTGGTTTCAGTAAACCTGTTTTTAACTCCAAATACCAAAATCAGCTATCAGTCTATCACCCCAAGTCAGGCCCTTTCTAGCCTAAAGGCTTCAATAACGTTGCAATGACAAGTATTCATAAATGCCGTAAATCATTGGATACTTTCTTATAACCTCGGGTTCGATCTTCAATAATATGAGGGGAAAATGGGCTGTTTTCTTTATGGTAGTGGTGTTATATTTTGAAGTAGAGACCTATGGAGCATAACTCCATTGAAAAACAGGAAGAAACCTTTTGCTTTTTCTAAAACCAGACACAGAAATTTTATTCTTTTCTTGGAAACTAATTTAAGAATCTCTTCTGCAGCCAATGTTAATAAGTTTAGGGTCCTCACCTTAGAATATCAGAGTATGGTACATCTGTCAAGGCCAAGAGCTGCAAATATTCTTCCACCAGAAGGCCACAAGCTGAAAAACCAGCCCATTCGATGTCTACCACCATCAGATTCATTGGAATGTTGAGGCTCGTTTCCTTCCAGTAATGGCTCCGATAACTCATTCTTCTGGTTTTCGCCGGTGATCTCACCTCCAGCTCTATCTTCAACTTGAGCTTCTGCAATTTCTCCTGGCTTCTTGTCAAATAGTCCTTTAAATTGTTTCCGAGCCTTCCTCTCTACTTCCTGCTCAAAACTCAGTACAGATACATAATGAATTGCCATGTTTGCATTACGTGTTGGATGACAGAAAATATATCATTGATTACAACACCTGCTCTTGCTTCTTCAGTTCTGCTAGAGCTGCAGTTGCATCTGGCCCTGAGGACTTATCAACTTTGATCATCTGATATATAAACAGGATTTTAGGCTGTGGTACAGAATCAAGTTAGAGAGCATTAAGCATAAAGGATTACATTATAACTATCATTTCGAAATCAGCTCTTGCTTCCGCAAAATCTCCAGCTGCCATGTAAGCCATTCCACGACGGTATAGAGCCTTTGTATGTACAGGCGTTGCATCTAAAACCTTCAAAGTTCAAGTAAAACAGACCAATCTTCAAATTTGATGCACATCCGAAGACAACCAGTTAAGAATTCAGACATTAGCAGCTCAGGACAAAGCATTTTGAAAGGTACGGTTTCGGTAGTTTCTATCTTTATTTGATTATTTCTTACGTTGGCTCAAATGTAAACCTTGAAGCTTGATTTTATGTCCTTGTGAAAATTCAGAAACTGAACAACAAATTATTTTGGAAACAATCTGATCAATTTAATATCCTTTAACTTCGGCAGGAAATATACTTTATGGCTTCTGTTATCTATGATCATAATATGCATCTTTTCCCGGAAAACAATAAAATAAAGGCTTAATTCACAATTTATCCCTCCAAGTATACCCGTTAGCTCAATTTACACCCTAAACTTTTTTTGTCCCATTTTGACCCTTACCTTATATGTTTCCCATTTTGTACCCTGGAATGATATGAACCGATGAAAACACACCATGTGACAACTCATAAGAACAAAACAAATCCAAGATGCCATGTGGCATGAGTTGATTGGTCAAAATTGTTCCTGGGAGCGAAATGGGAAAACAAGTGTACTCTTTAAGCGCCAAAATGGGACAAAAAAGGTTTAGAGTGCAAAGTGGGAAAAAGGCATACTGGACGGCTAATTTGAGAACTAAACCTAAAATGAATAAAAATTTATTCTTCCTAATAAATGAGAAAGATAAAGAGCTTCAGTTTGAAGTCACAATAAACCTTATTACACACCTCGATGGACTTTCTGCATTCTCCAATTTTGAGCAAGCATGTGGCCACATTCAGATGTGATGAATTCTTCATGCAATAAATCAGGAAAAGAGAAATTAATAGTATCCAGAAACATGCTATCTAACATCAGGTACCACCCGATAAAATAAGGGAGTTGCAAGTTAACATCTAGCTCAGCCATTATTTTTTTTAACGGAAAATGACGAATTTAGAACATAATGAATAATTGGGTGATCATTTTGTAACTTTTAATAGTCGAGTAACTCAACAAAGCAACTTCCTATAACCGGGGGACCATTTTATAACTTTTCATAGTCGGGGGACTCAACAAAGAAGTATCCTATAGTTAGGGGACCATTTGTGTACTTTACCCATAAAATAAAAGGACAGGATAGATTATTTCAGTTACCATGTGGCAGGATGAAACTTACTCTTGTGTCTAAAAATACTTTCCCTTCCTCATCCGTTTGTGGATTAACATGATTGAATCCCCGAAGCACCTACAAAGAAATCAATACATGGAATTGAACTACGTATGCACGTAAATGTACCCCGTTAGAAATATCACATGAACATCTGCTAACTAATGTGTATTTAGGTTTACCCTATATCCATTATGAAATCATTTGGATTCGATGGTTAGCTTGGATTCCAAATATGGGTTATTTATTTTTTATCATTTATATTTGTTTACCAAATGATAGACCAATTTGTTTTCATTGCTCGTATTAGAATTGGGTCTGTGGTCGATGCTTAATACATAGTTCACAATCCAGAGGTGACTTAAGATCTAGGGAAAACAGTTGCTATACTACCTTTTTATACTTTGCCTTGGCAAGTTCAAATTTTCCCTCTTTGAAGAGCCGGTTACCCTGCAGGCAAACGGTTAAATATTCAAATTAGTAGTCTTACAGAACAATAAGCAGAAGGATTAAACAATTAATTTACATCACTGCAACAGCTAGCAATCATAGATATAATAAACCACATGCCGAGACTCTAATTTCTTCTGCTTCATCCATTATGTTCTGAAAGTTTAAACCAGTCCAATCCTGTAATGAAGATTTAAGTTAGGCTCTAGATTGGTGAATAAGAAAAAAAATGGTGCACTACTTTTATTACAATATCTTGGTGCACGCTGACAATTTAACAACCATATTGTTAAGCATCCAACCTAAAACCAATAAATTATAGGTGGAAGGGTCTAACTTGAATATAAGACTACAGGAATCCAAGAGTTAACAATAACACCGCTTAATATTTCCCCTCACGTCTTTTCTCAACAAGGGCCTACATGTGGACCACCTCATATGGGGTTAAGCAGGAAGAGCAAAACAAAGATGGGCTATGATACCCATATTAAGCATCCAAAGATGAATTATTACCTAAGACATAATTGTTTATAGTAGAATGACTCAACTAGAGTATAACACCATAAGAAATCTAAGACATAACCAAGGGAAAGTTCCTAAAAGATGACTTTATTACCTTTGGCATATCAAAACCAAGAAGCTGTAAGGGAAAAAATGCTCACCCGATCAAGGTATAGTCTCAGTCTAGCATTATAATTTTGATCAAGGCAATTTGGATGATTGGTATTGATATGAAAACCTGATTTCAACTAGCACAAGATGAAGGTAAAAGAACCCACAACACCTTTTCAACTCTATAAGGAGAACTTACCATCCTTCTCCGGAACTGAACACCAAAGGTGCACCGTGGTTATCAACTCTTGTATCATAGAAGACAGTTTTTTCTTTGTTAAGAAGCAAGCCCTTGTAATGCACACGTAAAAGACTGTCATGAAGTGGGCAATCCATTGGAAACTCCCCTGATTATTCTAAACAACAACGAACATTATCATCCATGGAGCCACACAGAAAGGATCGCTGACATATAGTACAGGAATATGAAATGGAATTAGTAACTAGCACATAAGTTGCTCATACAGTTTTGAAGCATCATCCTAGGTATCTTTTCATCAAAGAAGAATGAGTGTAGAAACTGTTAAAAGTATATTCCAAATAAAACTTTCGAAGGAATGAATAAATAAATTGACAATGTAACATGAGCAATAATTAATAACATGTTGACTATAGATTTGTTTTTTGAATCAATCTCAAGTAGCATAAGAAAGAGAAAACAGAAAAAGAATCAAATAAATATCTCTTCGTGGCAAAGTATAATGAAATAACAAAGAGCACCTTCTCCATCACGTAATCGTCGTTTAATTAGGCGACCATCTCCCAGCATGTCCCTCACCTATAAGTCCAACACTTAAGAGTTCACTTCCATCCACGATTTGGTTAACTGAAGATAAACAAACATATGCATGAGAAAAATCCACAAAAAGAGAAACAACTTACCTGGATGAAGTGGACAAGCTCAACTTCAAAATGAACTTCTCCATAACCTTCTATCCCGGGCAACAAGGGAGATAGGGTTAAGTATTTATTTGTAACATAAATTACTGCTTCTCTTTCAGTGTCATTGTTCCTATTCCTATCTCAAGACCTTTAGGTACCTAAGTATTATGGAATCAGGAACAAAATTTATATTAAAAGGACCTTTAGTACGAAAACATGAAGCAGGATAGATCAAACGTACAATTAGATAAAGAAATGAGGGTGCCTAATTAGAAAAAAAATCCCTACAAGACAGAAATCACTAACCTCACATTTCCCAAAAGTAAAGAAATATGATTCTCCTTCAGTGTGTGACAAATCAATTTCCCATCACCTGTCTTTGCAGAAATCCTGAAAGATTCACATTATGATACATCTGACAAATGATCAAACCATTCTGGAAACTTAGTACAATGCACACAAAAGAAATGAGTAGGGGCTTAGAGCAAGTTTACCAAGCTTTTACTTCATATGGTTACCTTGGTGATTCCCAACCCAGGCCTTCATCAATTACCTACCATATTATATTCGTATTAGTGACATGACATCTTCAGAATTGAACTAATTTGATGCAAATTTTGAAGAAAGGATGAAGTCCATGCAGCAACAAAGTACAAAAAAACCCAAAATAATGATGCACGCAACTGCAACCATTAAAATTTGTCTGCATATTTAAAAAATGGAAACATTTCAGGAATGTGTGAAT